GCCAGGTCCGGGTCTCGAACTGCAGTCGACTACATGGGAGTCCAGCGACATAGCCATTATGCCAACTACTGGTCCCACTGTATTACAGTGTATTTTTTTGAGTTAATTATTTAATTTCTAATCTGACCAGAGAGAGAGAAAGGTAGAGTGAGAAAGCAAGCCGCCAGATCCGGGACTTGAACTACAGTCATTCATGTGGGAGCCCAGCGCCTTAAGCACCATGCTACCTGCCAGCCCCACTGCATTATAGTTTTATCATTATAGTTTAAAAAAAAATTAAAAATGTATTTATTCATTTATTTTAATTTGACCAGAGAGAGACAGAAAAAGAGACAGAGAGAGAGAGAGAGAGAAAGTGAGAAAGCAAGCCACCAGGTCCAGGACTCGAACTGTGGTCGGTCCTGTGGAACTGTACAGCGCCTTAACCACCACGCCACCTGCTGGTCCTCTATCATTATAATTTTTATATGTTTGTCTTGGTTCTGTTTCTTGGAGCTCTACAGAAGAGAGAGGTCTGTTCTCCTTTCATGTGGTGCTTTAGGATGCATGTGTTCACTGGAGAGAGAGACAGAGACAGTGAGATGGAAAGTGAGAAATCACCCCTCTAGGGGATGGCCACGCCGCAATCCCTTCTCCGTTCTCCTCTTGGGATCTTAGGCACACATGCACTTGTGCCTGGCGTGATTTTCAAACCGTGGTTGGCCTTGTGGGAGTTCAGTGACATAACCACTACACTACCTGCTGATCCCATGTGTATCTTGTCTTTACATTCTTTTCTTGATAAATACCACCCCATTTCTTAAAATTTTTTCATGTATTTAGGCTTCTAGAGTAACCTCATGAATCTTTTTCTACATGGGTCTGGTTTATACCTATCCTTTCTTTTTTGAGAGAGATTTTTGCTATGGGGCACATGCACTCTCCAGAGAGACAAACAGAAATCAAGAAATCACTCCCCAAGGAGGATGGCCATGCTGCAATCGCTTCGCCTCCATTCTCCTCTCAGGATTTTTGGGCACACAGGTACATGCGCCCAGTGTGAGTTTTTAAGCCACTGGGTCCTGAACTCTAACCTTAGTCAATGTGAGAGTCCAGCGACATAACCATTACGCCATCTACTGGTCCCAGTCATATCCTTTTTAAAGTGTGCGCAGAGTTCAACCAGATGTGATTTAATTAGTACACATTAAAGTTGGATTATCCCTTCAGTGTTCCAGAGACTGTAGGAGCCTGGCCCCATAGCCTAGTGGTTACAGGAGCCAGCTTAAACTCATGCCAGGTGTGTGTGCCTGGGTGCCCAAGATCCCGAGAGGAGAATGGAGGAGAAGGGATTGCGGCTTGGCCGTCCCCCGTGGGGTGATTTCTCGCTTTCTGTCTGTCTGTCTCTGTCTTTCTGGTGAGCGCATGTGCCCTGTTACAAAAACCTCACCAAAATAAAACCAAAAAGTTTTCCCCAACTTTATCATGAGAATTTTCAAACACAAAAGCTGAAGGAACATTGCAATGGGTCTGTATTCAAAGAGACACATTTGCCACATTTGTTTTGTAGCTCTCTTAGTATTTCTGTTGTTTCTTCTTGCACTATTTGAAAAGAAGCACAACATCACACTTCACCGCTGAGTTCATCCCCAAGAGCTATTCATGTCTGACTCTTTGGAAGCATATTTATGGCAGATTTATGTAATCAATGAAAAGAAATGCAGGTGGCACCAGGCTACTGTAGCATATGTCTGAGATTTACACGGTTTTATGGTTTCCGAATATCAGGTCGTCCTAAAAGTCATGATGTATTTTTCTGTGCTAAAATGGCTTTTCCGACAGCTCAGTAGTTTTCACCTCTCTTGTTCCATGTGAACCTGAACTGTGATATGAAATAGGCAAGATAGACATTCTTTTCTGTTTTATAGATAAAATGGAGTCTTACCAGGTTTGGGGCAAAGTGACAGAAATAGTCTTCTTTTTCCTCTGTGAAGCTGTGACAAGTACTTGAGAATACAGCCTCAGGAATCATCTGTGCCTCGAGGTCTCTGTGGCTACTCGTGCGATAGACAGCTCTGTCACAGTAAAGAGGAGGCAGAAATGGAGCTCTTTCAGCTGAGACAGATTAATTATTTATATTCTTTCTTGGTAGGTAATTCCAACTTGGAATATTTCACCAATTAAGAAGGCCAATGAAATTAAGGTAAACTTGGAAGAGGTAAATTGTTCATCTTTTTCCAGAAAGTTTTTTTTAAAAAACAATAATTATTTATTTAATTTTATTTATTCATTTATTTTAATTTGACCAGAGATACAGAGAGAGAGAGAGAGAGAGAGAGAGAGAGAGAGAGAGAGAAAGCGAGAAAGCAAGCCGTCAAGTCCAGGACTTGAACCATGGTCAGCCATGTGGGAGTGTCCAGCGCCTTAACCACCACATCACCTGCTGGTCCCCCTTTTTCCAGAAAGTTTTAAAACCTAAGAATTGTACTTCCTTTCTGTTTGTTAGCTTTTTTTTTAACTTACCTTTTTGATTTAATTCCAGCTTGTTTTTTTTTCTATTCTATTACTCTTAGGCTTGCATCTCATGTCCGCAGTAGCCCCTGTCATATGTTTCTTGCTTTAGTTGCATATTCCGTACTTAGGGTTTTTTCCTACCCAGCTTTCTTCCCCTTATTTTCCAAATAAAAGAAATCTTGAAAATGTTCATGGAAAGTGGAAAATGTTCGTGGAAATAGATTTCAGTATTTTTTGGTTTTGCACCAAAATGAGCTCCTACTTTAATTCTATTATTGCAGACTTTTTGAAGTTCCCTCGTACGTATGATTTGTGTTTCCCTTTACTCCATTTCTTTCTAATTGTGCTAATATAGCCGCCTCAGTTTGTGGATATCCAGCTCGAAGAAGATGATTCCTCAGATGAAGAATATCAGCCAGATGATGAAGAAGAAGATGAGACTGCTGAAGAGGTGAGTGACTGGTAACAGAGAAGATTTGGCTCTGTAAGGCAGGGAGTACTTGGCTTCCTTAGTAATGTCAGCCGTTCTGTAGAGAGGAGTGAACGGGGTTCTTCAGTTCTTTTTCTACTGTTCTTCCTTGTGAAGTGTTTTTCTGTTCTTGCTCCTTTAATTAAAACATTTTTTTTTTTAGTTAATTTATTTTAGAGGTTTTTGCCTAAGGGTATGTGTACAGAGAGAGTGAGTGAGAGAGAGAGACAGAGGGAGAGTGAGAAATCACCCCTCTGGGTCATAGCCACGTTGTGATTCCTTCTCCTCCATTTTTCAGTCAGGTTTTTGGGCATGCACGCACATGCATCCAGCGTGATTTTCTAGCCATTGGGTCCGGGACTTGAACTGCGGTTGGTTGTATTGTAGTTCAGTGACATAACCGCTATGCCATTTGCTGGTTCCTCCTCATATAATTTTTTTGAAAGAATTATTTTATTGAACTTATTTATTTATTTATTCATTTATTTAAAAAATTATTTTATTTAACTTTATTTATTTGTTTTAGTTTGACTGGAGCGGGGCAGGGGGAGAGAAAGTGATGAAGTGAGAAATCAAGCTATCAGGTCCAGGACTTGAACCACAGTCGACCATGTGGGAGTCCAATGCCCTTAACCACCATGCCACCTGCTGGCCCCATTTATTCATTTAATTTGGTCAGAGGGACAGAGTGAGAAAGAGAGAGAGGGGCAGAGAGAGAGAAAGAAAATGAGAAAGCAAGCCACCAGGTCTGGACTCAAGCCGCAGTCTGCCATCTGGGAGTCCAGCGCCCTTAACCACCACACCACCTGCTTGCCCTGCTCCTTTAAATTTTTAACTCATTTTAACGCTTGTGAAATGTAACACATATACACAGAACTCAGAAATGTGCATAGATTAGAAAATGTACTGCTTAAATAACGTGAATCCTCTCTCCAAAGTCTAGCCGTAGTAACATTATCAGGATACACCCTGTATGTCCTTTCCGATATCCGTCACCTCCCTCCTCCTAAGGATGATCCCTGTTCTTACTTTTTGGTAATTATTTTCTTGGTTTTAAAAAATTTTGTTTATATTTTCTATGAGAGATGGAGAAGGCGGGAGGGCGGCATCCCGACATGGTCTTCATGCCGTGATACCCCCCAGCCTCATGCAGCAAGGAACAGATGTGTGCACTACAGGGAGGCCTCAGGAAGTGAACCCGGAGCCTTCCTGTGTGTCCTCAGGGTCGCACTACCACAGCTGGCTCTCCATTGCTTTTCTTTATAGTTGGATCACCTAAGTAGGCATTGCTGCATATTATAGTTCAGTTTTACTGTGCTGAACTTCATACAGTGGACTCGCGTATGTATGTTCTTTTGTTCTTCGCTTTTTTTTTTGTTTTTTTAAAAGAGAGATTTTTGCCATAGGGCACGTGTGCTCTCCAGAGAAACAGAAAATAAGAACGCATACCCCAGGGGGCGTGGCCTTCTCCTCTGTTCTCCTCTGGGAATTTTGAGCGCACATGCACCCAGCATGAGCTTAAGCCACAGGGTCCAGGACTTGAACCGCAGCTGACCACTTGGGAGTTCAGGAACAACCATTATGCCATCTGCTGGTCCCCTTTGGTTTCTGTTTTGTTGTTCAACATTATGCATTAGAGATTCACTTAGAGTCGCTTAAAGCCATAGTTTGCTCATTTTCTTTCTTTTTTTAAAAACTTGTGTGTGGGGGGCAGCAGGTGGTGTGGTGGTGAAGGGCGCTGGACTCCCACATGGCTGACCATGGTTTGAGTCCTAGACCTGTCAGCTTACTTTCTCTTTAAAAAAATAACTTAAAAAAAATTGTGTGTGTTTGCCACAGAGACACACACACAGAGGGAAAAAGTGAGAAAGCACACAGTCCCTTTTCCATTTCTCTCTCCTTTCAGGATTTTACACATGTATGCACACGTGCCTGGCATATTTTTTAAACCACTAGGCCCATGACTTAAACCAGGGGTCAGCCATGTGGCCTCCAGATGCTTTAGCCACCAGGCCACCAGCTGGTCCAGTTTGTTCGTTTTCATTGCTGTGTTAATACGCTCTTTGGCTGTTTGTAAAGTGATTTGATTTTATTTTTGACTTTTTAATTTTTTAAAAAGAATTATTTGATTTTATTTATTGTTATTGTTTTTAATTTGCTTTGGGGCACATGGACTTACAAGAGAGCAAGAGACAGAGAAAGAGAGAAAGCTACCCTCTAGGTCCAGGACTTGAACTGCAGTCAGCCACTATAGTGGTGGGAGTCTGGCGCCTCAACCACCACACCACCTGAGGGGCTGTAAAGTGATTTTAAACCTGTGATTTACACCTTACACCAGTTTATAATTCAGATGAGGATAATGATCTGATCCTTGTTCCAACCTTTAAGATACTAAACTTATATTTAAGTTGTTTTCTTATTCCGACTAGTTTTGGGATAGGCACTTTTTTTTTTTTTGGAGAGGTTTTTGCTATAGGGCACGTGCGCTTGCCAGACAGACAGAGAGAGACAGAGAGACAGAAAGCGAGAAATCACCCTCCCAGGGGGGATGGCCACACCGCAATCCCTTCTCCTCCATTCTCCTCTCGGGATCTTGGGCGGGCACGCACGCACACGCGCCCGGTGTGAGTTTTAAGTCACCGGGTCCGGGATGCGAACCGCGGTCGACTACGTGGGAGTCCAGCGACACAGCCATTATGCTAACTGCTGGTCCTGGGATAGGCATTTTGTGATGCATCCTTGTGAGATATGTAAAACCCCGTGGAAGGGGGTGGGGCGTACGTGTGAGGGAGAACTGGACCTGTTTTGTAGAGCGTGCTGGAAAGTGATGTGGAAAGCACAGCTTCATCTCCACGCGGGGCAAAGAGATCCAGGCTGAGGCAGTCTTCCGAGATGGCTGAAACAGATGAGGAGAGCAGCACGTTATCGGAGGTGAGTCCGCATTGCACAGAATTGATGCGTTGGACCTGGCCGTGTCACTGCGTAAGTACGGTGATTCTGGGCTGTCATCCTCTTTCAAAGTCCCTTAAGTCAATGCTAAGAATAGTTAAGACAGGAACTTAGTGATAGGGAAAGCACTTTTCTTATGTTCTCATTAAGGGGTGAAAAATGTACAAGTAGCAGTGTTTAATTCATTTCTCTTACCTTTTTCTCTCGTGCCCATATTTGGATTTCCTGCTTTTTGTTAACCTAAGTAGCAGTCATTTGCTGTCAGTGGATGTAGGGTGAAAACCAGTTAGAGCCATATACTGGAGAGTGATTTCGTTTTTTTGTTTGTTTGTTTGTTTGTTTTGGAGAGGTTTTTGCTATAGGGCGCATGCGCTCGCCAGACAGACAGAGAGAGACAGAGAGACAGAAAGCGAGAAATCACCCCCCAGGGAGGATGGCCACGCCACAATCCCTTCTCCTCCATTCTCTCGGGATCTTGGGCACACACGCACACGTGCCTGGCATGAGTTTTAAGCCACTGGGTCCGGGACTCGAACCATGGTCAACTACATGGGAGTCCAGTGACATAGCCATTATGGTAACTGCTGGTCCCTGTGACTTCGTTTTTAACATATCTGTACCTAGATGAGAGGAAAAAGGTCAGTGGCATATGGAAGGTCAGTCTCTTTCTTCCCCTCTTTTCCTTTGTCCTCCTTTTCTCCCCTCCCTCCTTTTTTTTTCTTTTTGAATGCAGTTTTTCTCTTTCATCAGGCTGAGAAAGTTGCCACACCTGCCATCAGGCACATCAGTGCTGAGGTGGTTCCCATGGGGCCCCCGCCCCCTCCAAAGCCAAAACAGACCAAGGACAGTACTTTCATGGAGAAATTGCACGCAGTGGATGAGGAGCTTGCTTCCAGTCCAGTCTGTCTGGATTCTTTCCAGGTAAATGTAATTCCAAGTCACTGAGAAAATGAAATAGAATAATTTAGTTGTTGCTCAGTTGAGAAGAGAAAGGGAAAGATACTAAATTCTCAAAATTTTTTTTTCAAGAGGGCGTGTATGCTCAGTAGGGAGAGACAGAAACAGAGAAGGAGAGGAAAAAAGCATCCTCGGGGGAATGGCCACACTGCAATACCTTCTACTCCCTTTTACTCTCGGGATCTTGGGCACACATGCATGCACACATGCCTGATGTGATTTCTAAGCCTCCGCGTCTGGGACTTGAACCAAGTAGCCTGCATGGGGGAACCAGTGCCTTAACCTCCATTCCACCTGCTGGGCCCAATAGAGTAGCATTTTTTTCTTAATGCCCATAAGGTGGAAATAACGCAAATGTTCATTGATAAACAGGTAAACAGAATGTGATCTATCCGTACAGTGGAGTGTTATTGGCATTCAAAGGTGATGATGACACATGGTGTAACAAGAACGAACTCTGGTACTAAGTGAAAGCAGTCTTCATGTTGTATGATCCTGTCTGTATGAAATATCCAGCAGAAAAATCCACACAGACAGACAGTAGATTAGAGGTTAACAGGGACTTCAAAGAAAGGGGGAAGAGAATGATGCTCATTGTATGGATTTATTTGGGGGCACTGAAATGTTTTGGAATTGGACAGCTGTGATGGTCATATTAGTCAGCGAATATACTACAGTCCACTCAGTTATACTTCGAAGTGGTAGATTTTCTGATGATGATAAAATTTTGTATAGGATGTGGATTATATCTTATTAAAACTGTTATACATGTTCATAAAATGTTGGTTTCAAACTGATGTCTTCTTAAAGTTTCTCAGACAAACACTAATAAGGCAACATTATATAGAGGGGAGATTTTATGAGTTAAGCTAAAACTGAGACGCACAGAGAAGGTGAGATTGGGAGAAGTGAGAAGTGTTTTCCACTCACTGACCTGCTTTTCTTTCTCCACTGGCTAGCCCATGGATGACAGTTTAATTGCCTTCCGAACCCGTTCTAAGATGCCCTTGAAAGATGTGCCCCTGGGCCAGCTGGAGGCAGAGCTCCGTGCCCCAGACATCACTCCAGATATGTATGACCCGAATACAGCGGACGATGAGGACTGGAAGGCGTGGCTGGGGGGACTCATGAACGATGATGTGGGGAATGAGGGTAAGTGATTTTGTTTGCATTTAGTATCTCTCCTCTCCATTACTTCTGTGGTAAAGTTTTTATTAACTTGAAGCTTAGAGAATGGGGTATATTGGTTCAGCCAGTGGGCTGCTGGTTCAAGCAGCTGGATCCCACATGGCCAGCTGCGTGATTTGAACCCTGGACCCAACAGATTGAAAAACACTGCAGACGCATATGCATGTGTGCCCGAAGTCCCAGTGGAAGAATGGAGAAGAAGGGATTGCAGTGTGGCCATGCCCACTCCCACCCCAGGAGTGTGTCCCCTCTGTCTCTGTCTTTCTCCACATGTACCCCATAACAAATTAAAAAAAAAAAAAAAAAAAAAAAGTGGAGTATTTTGGTTTAATGGAATTTAATTTATATTTAATTAATAAGTGACCTTAAATTAGTAGTTAATTAAAAACATTTTTTTTCCTTGTCTTCTCTCTTCTTTTCAGTTAAAAATCTATTTGGAGGCCCAGCTACAGTAGAGTGAACTAATAGACACTGCTACTCAGGAGGTTGAGGCCCCATGAGAGGCCCAGGTTCAATTTCTGGCCCACCCTAAAAGCTGAATATAGTGAGACACTTTTTTTTTTTACTATAGAGTACTTGAATTTGCCAGGAAGAGACGAGAGAGAGAGGGAAAAGTGAGAAAGCATCTCCCACGCCAAGCCTTTGCCCCTTCTCCTCCCAGGATTTTGGGCGTGCATGCACTCATGCCTGGCACACATCTGCCCATTGTGTTTGCTACCAGGTCCAGGACTCGAATCTCATCGTCCACCATTTGGTATGCAGCCCCGTCACCACACATAGTGAGACTTACCTTTTTTATTTTTTCAATTTGCTAGAGGGCTTGTGTACTCTGTAGGAAAACAGAGGGAAGGCAGGGAGAGAGAAAGGGAAAGAAAGCAACCTCCCCCCACCATGTGTAATGGTCTTACCACAGCCCCTTCTCCCCAATCTCTTCATATGAGATTTTGGGTGTGCATGTACATGTGGTTAGTGAGTTTCTTAAGCCACTGGATCCCAGACTCGAACTATGCAGTTGGCCATGTGGCTAGCCTGAGACTCTAACTTTTAATTGAAATAATTAATTAATTTCCTGAGTGACAGAGACCAGCCAGCACCCTGATAGGACCTCGTCTGCTGTAATCCCTCCACCCCGAGTCCTCTAGCCAGCTAGGATTATGGGTCCACCTGGTGTGCTTGGGTCCACTTGGATCTGAACCAGGGCCTGTCGGTACGGCCCCAGCATGGTGCAGCAGCTCCTCACCATCCGCACCATCATGGCTGCGTTGCGTTATTTTAGATGAATGGAGTTGTTGAATAAATTCAGATATGCCACAAAAGTGACATCAATAGTTGTAAGGTTTTAGAAGAGGGAAAGAATTTCTGTTTAGTAGGACCAGAGATACCTCCATGAAATAGATGGTAATCAATCTGGACCTTTGGAAGATTTTGAAAACAGTGACCCGGAGGGAAGGAGGCAGATGGGTGGGTGTGACGAACTAATAAGTATGGTGGGTTCTGCAGGATGTATCTATCCTTCCCAGAGTTTTCTTTTTTTTTGTCTATAACAGTAATAAATGCTAGGTATTAAAAAAAAATTGTGTAAAGACACAATGACACGTGACAGCTTCATGATACTGATAATATTTTGATATATATCTCTTGATCATTTTCAAATGTGCTGTTAATTTCCTTTTAGTTTTCTACACTAATGTGGGGATGGGAAGAATTTAATTGTGACCCTAAATTTAAATTTAGAACTTTTCTCAAGCATTAGAAGAGAGAGAAAAGAAACAAGCAAAATTTTGGTTTGTGGCCGGCAGGTGGCGTGGTGGTTGGGGGTGCTGGACTTTCATATGGCTAACTGCGATTTAAGTCCTGGACCTGGAGACTTGCTTTCTTACCTTGTCTCTTTTTCTCTCGGTCTGTCCCTGTCTGGTCAAATTAAAAAATAAGTAAATAAAGTTAAATAAAATAATTCCTTAAAACAACAACAAAAAAAGAAATTGGTGTGAATATTAGCAGTTTTCTTCTTTTCTACCCATCCTCTATAGCAGAAGTACTATTTTTTTTTTTGGAGAGGTTTTTGCCATAGGGAACGTGCGCTCACCAGGAAGGCAGAGAGAGACAGGAATTGAGAAATCACCCTCCGGGGGGGATGGCCATGCCACAATCCCTTCTCCAGTCTCCAGTCTCCTCTCGGGATCTTGGGCACACATGCACACGCCATCAGGTCTGGGACTCAAACCACAGTTGACTATATGTGATTCCAGCAACATAGCCATTATACCAACTGCTGGTCCCACAGAAGTGCTATTAAGTAACAAAATGAACTAAATGTCTTTCCTTTTAAAAATAATTATTTATTGATGTATCTATTTATTTGTTGTGATTTTCAAGCCACCGGGTCTGGGCTCCAACCACATTTGGCCAAGTGGGAATCGAGCTCCTTAACCACCATGCCACCTAGTGGCCCAAATTTCTTTTCATTATTTATGTGTTTATTTTTAAAAATTTTATAGTTTTTTTGAGAGGTTTTTCACTGTAGGGTGCATGTGCTCACCAGAGAGACAGAAAGTGAGAAATCACTCTTCAGGGGGATGGCCATGCTGCAATCCTTTTCCTTTATTCTCCTCTCAGGACTTTGGGCACGCATGCACATGTGCTGCCACTAGGCCTGGGACTTGAACTGTAGTCGATTGTGAGTGTCCAGTGACATAACCATTATGCCATCTGCTAGTCATGTAAGGTGGTGTGGTAGCTAAGAGCGCTCGATTCCCACATGGCTGATCGCAGCTCCAGTCCCAGACCTGATGGCTTGCTTTCTCACTTTTCCTTTCTCTGTATCTCTCTGGTAAAATTAAAATAGTAATACTAATTATAATAACAAATGGAATGAAATAAATAAGTAATTCCTTTCAAAAAAATTTATAACTTGGAGTAGTATATTATTATCTTCTAAAGTTTGTTTCTTTTAGGAGAGAGAGAGACAGGCAATGAAGCCCCCCAAACAGGTTCTCCCCAGCCTTTCCAGTCAGTCAGGATCATAGGTGTGTGTATCTGGTGTGTACAGATGGACCAGAGACTGAACCGGCAATCTTTTTTTTTCTTTTTTAAAGAATTATTATTTAGTCATTCATTGTATTTAATTTGACCAGAGAGAGAGAGAAAGTGAGACAGCAAGCTACCAGGTCTGAGACTCAAACTCTCGTCAGCCATGTGGGAATGTCCAGCACCTTAACCACCATGCCACCTACCGGCCCCAGCAGTAATCTTCTTTTAAAAATTTATTTATTCCGTAAGTGAGAGAGACAGAGAAAGAGACAGAGATACAGTACCTCTCATAGGTTCCTAATACCATAATCCATCATAAATATAAATGTATATATAGCCAGCATATTTGGGGAGGTCTCTGGACATTAACTGGAAACCTTCCCATGTGGGTCTATCTCACAGAGCATTGTGTTTTACCATTGAGTCACCATCTCATCCCTGAACCCATGGACTTCATAAAGATGAGCAGTGCTTGGGACAAGCAGTTAGTGTAATGGCTCTGTCACTGGACTCAAATGTAGTTGATTGCGGTTCGAGTCCCGGACCCGGTGGCTTTAAACTCATGCCAGGTGCGTGTGTGTGCATGCCCAAGATCCTGAGAGGGGAATGGAGGAGTAGGGATAGGGGCGTGGCCATCCCCTCTAGGGAGTGATTTCTCACTTTCTGTCTCTGTCTTTCTGGCGAGGACAAGCCCTCTATAGCAAAAACCTCTCCAAAAAAAGAAAAAAGAAAAAAAGATCAGCAGTACTTGAGTATCGTGTTACCACCGCACTATCAATCTGGCCATATCTAAGGATAAAAATAGGAAGTTTTAAGCTAAATTTACATCCAAACTAGGGAAGAAGTTTATTAATTATCAATAACCAATGTATTATCCAGTTAGTCTCTCTGAGACGATTCTGGTGTTTCCTGTATTCATCTATTTGAGAATATGATGAAAAATGTGCAAGCTTCCCCAGAAAAATGTGCATGTCTATATACATAATTTTTTTTTTTTTTTTTTTTAGACTTTTTTTATTGGATATTAAGACTTTTGTCATAGGATATGTATTCTTGCTGGAGAGAGACAGAAAGGGAAAGTGAGAAACACTCTCTGGGGGGATGACCACATTGCAGTCCCTTCTACTCCATTCTGGGCACACATGCACACACATGTACCTAGCATGTTTGTAAGCCACAGGGTCTGGGACTTGAACCATGGAGTCTGCCATGTGAGATCCAGTGCCTTAACCACTACGTCATCAGCTTGCACCATGCATGAAATTTTTTGTATGAATTTTCATGGGTTTATGTAAATCTTGACATTCCCTGTTGACACTGCCCCCCCCCTTTTTTTTAAATTTGCAAGAGGGTGCATGTGCTTGCCAGAAAGAGACAGACAGGGATAGCACCTCCCATTGGCAGTGGTCATGCCACCGTCCCTCCTTCCTTTCTCCATCAGGATTTTGGGCAAACACACACACACACACACACACACACCTGGCATTTCTCAAACTGCTAGGTTTGATACTTGAACTGCACAGTTGGTCAAATAGTATCTGGCTGCCTTAGCCACTAGGCCATGGGCTGGCCTGACACTTCTTAGCTCTGCCAGTTCTCTCCAAGGCTTATGGCATCAAAGTCTCTGCAAAATGGGTCGGAAGGACAAACGTACATCTAACCATTTTGTGGGAAGTGAAATATTAGTGTCAGAGAAACACACTGTCACATTCAACGTTACAGAATCAATTTGCTCATACTTGTAGGACGAGAACCCAGCTTAATAATCTAAGAACATGTCTTATCAGATCGGTCTTATGGGAAGCCAAACTACTTTTTAAAAGCTCTGCTTTTTGTCTTTGACCTAGGCTGGGAGTCAGTGAGATTCTTACGGCCCTCACAGTAGCAGATGCTTTGGTGTCCTCATTTTCATCACCATGGTCCAAAGGACTGAG